ACACACACACACACACACACACACACACACACACACACACACACACATATATACAATCAGTCTCCGCTGTCAAAGAGGGGCCTGGTGCTGATATTTTGTGTCTTCACTTTAAGCTAAGCTGTTAATGCACATAATGAACAGGGCAGCAGGTTTTAGTGGCTACAGGAGGAGGACAAACCCTGATCTAGGGTCAGCCTGCTGGAGCTGCTGCTCTCCAGACGGGCTTTGGCTGAACGTGTCGTGGAATGCATGCGTGCTTCACCGCTGCGTTGCACAAAAAACATCTCGAGTGCACCGGTAAGCCAGCGGAGTACAAGAGGATCAATGTCTTAAGAAGATTTTGGGGAGACCACACCAAATCTGGCTTTTCAAATTCTTTTGTTTCAGTTGAGTGTGGAGTAGCCGATGCCTCGTTTCCCAGATAGACCAAACGGCCGGAGTCCCCGTACACTATCTGGTTAGGACGCTAGAACATGAACCCTTTGCACACATCCCCCGAATACTGCCTGATTTGTCGTTGGTGTTCCAGGTCTTGTTTAGGTTCACAGGTCTAACTGTAAAAAGAGTACGCAGGAGGAAGCGTAGTTATGAGCTGTGAAGCACTTTACCCCATTTGTTTTGCAACAGCGCTCATGTGTAGCGGTGGGGGGGGGGGTGATGGGATGGGGCTGCACTGGGATTTCAGACAGAGACGAGCAGCAGGGATCAGATTGATTGAGTTCCGCGCGCTACTCTTACTTCCTCAGCTCTGGGCGGCCTGCGTCTGATGGTCTTAGCAGTAGGTGAGTGCGGTTTTGTTCCCACTATTGTGCGGATGGGAATGGAGCATGGCGACAAAAGGGCTGCCCCTGAACCCAAAGTTTCACGTCCACCTCCTGCAATTTCAGCTCCTCTGGTCGAGCGTTTGAGCGTTTCGGCCACTTTTTGTGTGACGTTTGTTTTCATTTTGCGTGGCGGCCTGCTGAACTGCGGGGTCGGTCAGAGCATGTGTTGATCCGGTCTATTCTCAGGCGGCCCCCATAAGCACAGTCAACACTTGAAGAGATGACTGGCAGGAAAACATTGAGCCCTGAGGGGGGAAACCTGTGTCAACATAGTTTATCAGCTCGTTTTATAACCTTCTTTTGTCAGCTGTTTGCCAAACCCCACCTACCTCAGATACTGTTGCACGCCGCCTGTTCCAGGACCGTGCATCACCTGGCTCATGGAGATAGCTCAGTGCTTCTTTCACATTTTCCTCTTTGTCAGACAGTGGACAAAAGCAGACTTCTGAACTGGCTCGTGGTCGAGGCTTAGGCTGGGTTTGGATCAGGCATAATGGTTTGAGATCTGTTTGAGTCTCAGCTGTATTTACCATTTTTTGACTTGTGCAGAGGGCTCATTGCAGAAAGTTCTTAAAAGACTGATACTGAGGTTACTAGTCATAAAGGAAAAACAACACCGTGTCTCACCGTGTCCGAATTTTACCTTACAAGGAACAGTGGTGTAGCATGCGAGTTGCTTTCTCTCCCGGTGAGGTTTCAGAAGTGCCGTGGCAGGATCTGCCTAATTTTAAAGTTTATACCCAACCAAATGAACAATTTGAGTTCATTTGATTCAAACCAGTGGTGTGGTTAAATGAGGGTCTCATCTTCACAGCCTGTTATTTGGGAAATGGGACACTATTCCATGCAGACTTGCCGGAGCTGCTGGAATGTAAGCACCTGGCCCAATATGGAGAGGGCCAGAGCTGCTGTCCTGTGACTCTCGAGCTTTGGCAGCAGGCACAGTGTCGCAGGACAGATGTGTCACCGCGTGTGTACCTGCGAACAATCTGGAGATTCTACTGAAACAGCAGACATTTTGTTGTAAAGAAGTCTGCAAACTCCAGTCGTCACTGTTTGAACTGATCAGGTAGCCACAGTCTAATTGAGACTGTGTGAAAATAAAAACATCCCACAATGCAACTGCAGCTAGGAAATACCCTATTTATTTGTGTGGTCATGTGGTTTAAGGGCACACTGTGAAACGGGGTTCGCTCCTTGCCGTATCAGTTTGGGGTTGACAAAAGGAAAAACACAACAAACGACGGGAATGGTTTCAATATGTTTTTAACCAAACTCACAACTCTAAAAAAAACAAAAAAAAAACAACAACAACAAAAAAAAAACAACCCTGCTCACTTAGTTTTCCCCATCGGCTTCTCCACACCACAAAATTACAATGTTCAGATTCATGAGAGTATGGGCTGCTTTTGCGCGCTGAAAATAAACCCGACGGTCAGGAGAAAATGCTGTGCAGCGTTGCTGCTGCGCTTTAGTTTTGTGTCGCATGGAGGGGTTGGTTTGATTGCACACTATTGTCTGTCTGTCTGTCTGCTTCCCCCAACCACACACTCCCAAACCATGCCACTGATTACTAGTTTAGAGTTTCACCAAATGCTGTCGGGTCCTTTGGCTAACCTCCTAAGAACCCTATGTGTGTGTGTGTGTAGGATCTTGTGTGTTTGCGGTGTGTCCTGTTCATGCATGTCTATGTTTGTACACTACACAGTGAAAGTATGCGTCTTTATTTGTGTCTCTGTGTGTACGTCTGTGTCCGTCTCACTTGTTGACAAGGATCTTGCTGATTTACGTGCTTGGGAGCAGAGTTTTACCGTCAGCCTGTGATGTCATTTCCTTGGAGCTTCCTTTCTCGACGCTAAACTGATTTATTCACCAACCGAAACCCAACTGCTCATTTGTGATAGCTTTCCCGTTGCCGGATAACGCGGGACGCCTGGTTACAGCGGCCCGTCTCTCAGGGATGGCATGTGGGGTTCGAACTGTAACAAACCAGAAGTCTGTGCGGCTTCCTGAGAGAAGCGGCCTCTGCCGAGGCTTATCGCACGCGACTCTCCTTGTGGTGCATACTTGTGTCAGGTGTGCTCTGTTTTTCCAGTCAGGGTAAAAGAGGAAGAGGAATCTAGGCTTGGGCAAGAATGAACACATCCACATCCACTCCATCTTCACTCCTCCTCCTCCTCCTCCTCCTACTTCTCTCCCTTCTGCGGCATATATCCCTCCCCTTTCTTTCTTTGTTGTGTTGTTTTTCAGACATCTTCTTCTCTATCCAAAAATCGATCTTAATCAGATCCATCTTCCATTTGTCATACTTTTCATACATCTCTTTGGCTGGATTCTTGTTCTTTCCATGTTCAACAGGTGTGGAGTTTTCTTTTTTGGATCTAGTTGCTGTCTAACAAGGTTATTTAGCAGCTACCGCCCTTAAAATGACGCTGCGTTTTGCTATGTGAACTGATTCCTTTGGGATTACCAGCATTATTTATAATCTCTTGTTGATTCATGCCGAAATTGCTACATTTTAAGCCTTTAAAATTTGGGGTTTGTCATTTTGTGGCATGTGTGTACAGTTAATTTTCTAAAGGTGTGGATACAGTAGATACTTTGTATGTTTGAACGCTAAGTGTCCCGCCTCACTTTAGAACAGACACGAAGAGCTAAGACATTGATAACTAACCAAAAGATGCCCTCTGTTTTGGGACAGCAAAAAAAAAAAAAAAAAGCTTGTCTGTAAAAGGACGTGGGTCATCACAGCATGCGTGTAATCTTACACACCGCTACGCTGCAGAGCTACAATGTGTGGCACTATGCTGCCGAGGGGTAGAGGGAGGGAGAGGGGGGATAAAAAGGAAAGGGAAGGCCTCCCACACAGGCAGATATGAGTATGGGACTTAGAAGCTCCATTAGTTCTTCAGAGCCAGCTGCCGGGTTCAACTGGATGTCTGCGCTGGGCTGTTTGATCTCCATTCATCCATAGCCTTACATCTCTGCCTCTGTCTCCCAGCGTGTCCCGACGCTGGGCCTCATGGGGCTAGAGAGAGCACAGCTGCCCGAGCTATAGGGTAAATCTGTCTGCCGCTGTTCCACTCCAGCCTCTGCTGGCGTCTGCTGCTGTTTTTGCTAGTGATCAGTCTTTTTTTTTGTTCTGTCGGTTGATGGAATATCAGCGCGGTGATAAGACTTTGAAATATTGGGTGGGAGGTTCGTCGAAGACCGTCAGTCTTTCGGGCTCAGACGGGAAAAATGTAAACAGATCTGCAGTTTGTCCGTGTTACTGACTCATTGTCCTCTTTTTAATCTGTTTTTTTGCAGCACTCGTTCATCCTCCTCTTCCCCCTTCCTCCTCCTACTCCTCCTCCTCTACGGACAACTTTGGGAATGGGCCAGCGCCTTGCCTGGGTGCATCTCTCCTCCCAGTGGTGTGGCTGGCGTCGCGCGAGAGTGAGGAGGGCAGCAGCCAGGTCATAGAGCCGGCCCCCCCCTCTCACCGCTCGCTTGCCTTCGAGTGACTTTTGACCCCCCCCCCCCCCCCCCCCCCCCCCCTCCCCCCCCCGGCCCCGCCATGCCGTTCCGGCTCAAGCTGCGGCGCACACGGCGCTACAATGTCCTGAGCAAGAACTACTTTGTGACACGGATTCGCCTTTTGGACAGCAACGTGATTGAGTGCACCCTGTCAGTGGAGAGCACGGGACAGGAATGTCTGGAAGCTGTGGCCCAGAGGCTGGAGCTACGGGAGGTGAGTCTTTTGCTCAGTCTTCACTTCTACCTGCTGCTGTTAGACAATCTGTCCGAGTTAGTTTGGCTCTTTCGGGAAGACGTCTCTCTCTCTCTCTCTCTGATTGAACTTTTGAGCTGCCGTCAGGAATCGCCAGCTTCTGGTTCGACGGGACACTGGGCACTCGTGTTAGTGTTTGCCTCGGTGATTGCCACGCGTTTCTCCCCACAGCTTGTGTGTGTCTCCCTGCCCTCTGCTGTCAGTCTCCTGCGGGGTCTTTGTTTGTCTCTAACGAAGCGCGGCTACCTCTGTCCTCTTTTCACAGCAGAAGAAAGAGATACTGCGCATCCCCTCGTCTCAATTAACCCCTGCTGTCTGTTCTTTCTGACCTCTTCCTCCCGTCTTCCTCCCGTCTTCCCCTTCCGCTGTTTTTTAACCCCTCGTAGAGTTGCATATAGAGTATCATTAGGTCATAATTATTTGCACATACTGTACATGTCAACCATAAAGAGGAGAGAAATTTGGGTGGAGATGGCGCCCATTGCTTCAAACACAGACAAGATTTCTGCAGCATTGCGTTGTCTTCTGTTGTCTTTCCCAGTCTGTGTTTGTGTGTTTGTCTAAAGACTGACTGACTTGACAAATGCGTGTCAAAGTGTGTGTCCGCACCCGTCTGCGCTGCTGACAATGCAACATCAAGCGGGCCGGTGTAGTGCATACTCGCGCAGTGTTGTGGTATTTGCCAGGTGTCAGTGATGTTATAAATAAGGTGGTGTCGCTCCACAACTGTCGTGGCTGTCTGCTTCATCTTAGGGCTTTTGTTTACGTGTCTGCCTGTGAGAGGGTCTGTGTGTTTGTCAGTGCCGTGTGTTGTCGCTGCGGTCACGCAAGCTTCATTACAGATGAGTGAAATCATGTGGAGGGAACAGGTGTGCTTACCTCGTTGTAATAGCGGTTACACACCGGCCAGACACACAAAAAGCCAATAAAATATAAACTTTTTTAAGTCTTATTTGCATGGGCAGCCACATGTCATCTGGGGCTCAGCGCTGTAATTAAAAAGTTTGAATACATAGTCGCCGTTACATGCCAGCTACGATACAGGTCAGGACTTTGTTTCGTGAAACAGCCTGTTTCCGTGCACAGACTGTAGATGGTAGCTGTCTGATCTTTCTTCCCTTTCAAGCTCGCCTGTCGAGTCTGTTTTGATCAGTCTAACATTTTAAAAAGTCTGTGAACTAATGATCTCGAAGCAGCGTGCTGACATCTGCCTCAGATCTGAGATATCGCGAACGCCACAGGTAAAGAAAATTAATTGATTCAGAGTAGCTCCTTTGCAGCTGTTTTAAAAAAGCTACTTTTTATGATATACTGTATGAAAATACATTTGGCAACACATTTAATTAAATAGGCAGTTTTCACTGGAATTCTTTTTTTACTTAATTGGTCAGACTACACCATAAATGTTGCTTTCCTTGTCCTTTGTCTGTCGTTACCTTATTTCACCTTTTGATTCTACTGTTCATTTTTCTTTTGCCTTTGTTTAATCTCGCCTCCAGTATTTGTATTACTTCTATTGGACCTTTGAAACAAGGCCTTCTCTCTTTTTCTATCCTCTGCAGACCCATTACTTCGGGCTTTGGTTCCAGGGGAAGACCCAGGCCCCAGCTCAGCGCTGGGTGGAACTAGAAAAGCCCCTCAAGAAGCAACTGGATAAGTTCGGCAATGAGCCGTTGCTGTTTTTTGGAGTCATGTTCTATGTTCCAAATGTATCCCGGTTGGAGCAAGAAGCCACCAGGTAGAGTCTCTAAAAATACTCATGTCTGCGTCTTAATTAAAACTGGTGACACACAGAAGCAGCCAGTTTAGAAATGCTTGAGTGTTTAAAATGTCTGTCAGTGCAGCTAACTTTTACTCACTTATGTCTTAAGCCAAACCTCCAGAAGTAGCTCTCATATTTGTTTAAGAAATCCTTTAATGTGTGAATGTGTCTGCAGATGGACTGGAACAGGGTTGCCATGAAAATGGCACGCTGAAGTTTAAATGCTGCCAAACAAACACACACACACACACAAATCAGTTGTTTTCCTTTTCCCTGCTTTTGGAATGGATTGGTGCTGCGTTGTATCCTTGGCTGTGGAACATGTGGCTGTGATGAGTTGCCAGATATTTCCACTTAAGTGTAGCTGCTGTGAAAGTAAAATGTTGCTGGATCACATAAGCTAATTAACTCATGACTTAATGGTGTCCTACAATTTCTTTCCAGCCTTTCACATGTATGTATTGAGAAGTGAGGTATCAATACAAGCACAATGCAAACAAAACATTTGGAAGCAGCTGATTTGGACCAAACCTTAAAAGGTGGTTTGTTTTAAAACTTTAACAGACTTCTGCCAAGTTCCAAAGAAATCTTGATTTTAGAAGCCAAGCATTGTCTGATATAGTTAGTATTACTATTGACATCATCCGTGCAGTAATATACCTTTAGTTACATGTCTGATATCATTCAGAGAAAAAAGTGAAAATGAATGAATGACCTGAGTGTTTTTTGGTGAGGTGATAAATGTCTGTCAGCTGTGGCTTCGCGGCAGCTGCTTCTTCACTTTCTTTGCTCTGTTGTGTTGTTTGGTGAGTTACAAGCTTGTTTCTCAACTGCTTCTCTTTCACAGCATTCAGGTGGTGGACAAAACGGCTACATTTGAACATAGTTTGGAAAATAAAATCAGTATCGATGCTTAAAAGGTAGCTAAATCTCCCAGCAAACCCATCAAGGTGAAAACTCTGGTGATAAAGATGGTAAAGCCTCATAGGTGTTGCTCAATAAGAACAAAATCTAAATGCGGAACTCGAAAGGCAAAAAAGATAGAATACAACAAAAAACAAAGTGGATGTGGAAATAACTTTTATCAGCATTCTGTTTTCTTTCTTTAATAGCAATGTTCAGCAACTAGTCAACTAACTGATATGATCAACATCTATTGTTTTCTCATGCCTCAGTGTTGTGTCTGAAAGAGTGTGTTCGGTTGTGTGAATGAGTAAACAGGGTCGCCGTGAGGAGTGCATGCAGGGGTCAGTGTGTTGTGGACGGTCAGGATCTCAGATTCAGCCTCTCACACACACAGACTCACACACTGCTGGTCTGCCTCGCACTAGGCTGATGAATTTGTGGCCTCTGCCTCGCTGGATGTGGGAAAGGTCGACTGCAGGTCGCAGCTCGATGTTTTGACTCAAGAGATGGTTTAAAGGTGTGTGTGAATTGGTTTTATTTCAGTAATTTCAGCTGTTGAATTCCTTCTTGGAGTACTTTCGAAAAAAGGCAGGACCAGACACGAATGTGTGCTTAGACTGAAGCAATGAAATCATCCTCTGTTTGTGAACTATCTGAGAGTGATAACAGCACACTCGCTTTATGGAAACCAGGAACGAGTCCGGTATAAAGGTGGTATTCCAGGAATCTCTACGGGCTTTTATGATGTGCATGTGTGTGTGAATGTGTATGGGGGTTAGTGGGTAGCAGAGGTTATGATGGGGGCTTAGACGCAATTTAGAGAACAATGGTCATCTCTTTTACTCAAGGCCCCTCTTTCTTTAACAATCCCAGTACATGGTGTCACCTTTACTCCTTTTTATCAGGGCACATTTGCCTTCTTTTTCTCCCTGTCCCTTCGTCCTCCTGCTAGATCTCCCCCCTTCTTCTCTTTTTCTCTTTGTCAGGAATGTTGGCACAGCCGTTCAGCGTAGGAGGCGGACCACACATTCCTCCCAGCAGAAGTGCTGGGGGTAAAGGGAGAGGGGGATGTCTGGTTTACAAAACATATGCACACACACACACACACACACACACACACTTCATACACTCCCCCAAGACTGCTCTCACAAGCCAGCTGCAGCCCTGTCAGAGGAGTTCTTTGGAATACAGCACATTGGAAGTTCCATACGCCATCCCTGGGGCAGCTTTTTCTAAAAAGCCTCGTCCCAGCACAATGCACGCGGAGCTCAAAACTCTCCGCAGCACCTCTGAGAAGGTTCCAACATTTCATACAGCCCAGTTTTTCTCAAATTCTATTATTAGTATTTTTTTCATACATTTTTGATAAATTCTAATGTCCCATCGCTCTTGTGCTGTCAGCGGTTTCCTTTTACCACTGACAATCATCTTCAAAAAATGTTGCTAATTTATTGCCTGCTGGTGGATCTGGATCAGTGCCAGAGAAGCGGATCCTTTTCTACACACCTGGTTTAATGAGGCGAGGGGGGGGGGGGATTTAGAGGGAGAAAAAGAAAACAGGTAGAGATTAAGACAAGTGGGAACAGAGAAAGTAAAAGTTTGGCTGCAAGTCCTGGCTTTGGTGTGTTTTTTTAACTTTGTCATTCATGTGGTGTGAGCTGCTCTGAATGACGGCTTTTTCTTCACAACTCTGTGACCTTAGTTTTTTTCTTTTCGTGGCAATAATAGAAGCTTTTTTTCAGTAATGGGAAATTGCAGGTAAAACTCTTTTATAATTATTTGTTCTTAGTAACTGGAAAGACGGAACAATGGCCATTTCTGTTTAAAATGACTGTGCAATGTGAGTTTTTTCATGTGGTCAGGTCTTTGAAGTTCAGTGTTTGACTGATCTGTAACCTGATTCTGGATCTCACCCTCTTCCCGTCCATCCATTCATCTGTTTCTCCTTCCCTCTCTTCCTCTCCCCTTGCAGCTGTGAAAACTAACACAGCAGGGGGCTCATTATTCTCTGAACCTTTTTTTTTTACATTTTAAGATTTGCCTTGTACGCTATTATCAATGCATGATAATCGGTTATTTAACACATTCTACATTAAATATGACTATGTCATTACAGTTGCATATTCAAAAAATGTTTTTTTTGTAGATTTTTTGGGGAATTAACGACTCAAAACACCAATATATCAATATATATATCAATATATACATATATATATATATATATATATATATATATCCCAACTACCTTTTTGGTAAAAATCCATGAAGGGATCTAAAAAGTCCTAAATCTGACATTTTGAGGCTACAGCTGTGCACTTTCTGCAGAAAACACCATTGTACAAATCAGTCAGGACTCTTGGACTTGTGGGGAGTCTTTTGTTGACAGCTCCATCTCATGACAAATTCAGCATTGATGCTGCTGCTGTAGAGGGAACCAAACTAGAGAGAAGTCTTATAGGGAGGTGAGATTAAATAATAACATGAAATACTCCTCTTTGAGAAATGTTTTTTTCGTTCTTCCTCCCTGGTTGTCGGATTTGTTGATGTATGCCTGATAGATGATTATAAGCAGGACGTCTATTCAGCCACCTGACCAGTGCTTCTTGCAAATGGCTTTCCTGTTTCTCAACAGTTCTCAAACAACCTGTTTTCCACAGGAGGGAAATCATAAAATGTTCTAAACATTCTCTATGATCTTGGGTACGTTAAATGTCAGCTGTTTGTAATACATAAACATCTGTTAACTGAGGACCACCCCAGCTGTATCTTGTACTATGTACACAGGAACAATTAAAGGATTTATTGGTCCCCTGTTGACTGATTGAATGTTGATCTTTTAATCAAGCTGATTTTTGTACTAACTGCTATTTGTTACTCACTTGTAACCAGATATCATGCACTCAAGTGCAGCAGATCTCAGAGTTGTGTGTGGTCGAGGTCTTCTGTTGCCGGGTGTCATTGATATGAAGGAGGAGAAAACGGGCTCACATAGAGAAAGTGAGGAACCCAAGCGAGAGCTGTTGACCGGAGCGAGGCCAGCTGGCCTCTGCAGCCCCAGAGGCTACCGCCACCATGAGCCTTGAAATCCTAGCTTTGTTCATCTAGTTATCGCCAATACACATGCACACACACAGCTGTACGCTGCTGTGCCCCTTGCTGATTCAACAAATTTCAAAGTGAAATCCCCCCCCCTGCCTCCCACACAAACCGTCTGGGCCCATCACAGGGCCGGGGGGTGCCCGGGGTCACGCCACTGCAGAGGTGGTGGGAGTGGAGAAGGGGCCATATGTACACACATACTCACATTCATGCGTGCATGCACATATGCTGGCAGGCTTGTTGTTCGGGCCACTCGGACATCTGGCAGTACGTCTTTGAGTGGGGCTTGAACATGCGTGGGCACATAAAGAGCTCTTTGTGCCTCTGAGGCAGCCTGGACTGCCAGCAGAGCACTCCGCTACGATGGAAGCCGCAAATAAGGAGGGCTCTCTCCTCCGTGCATGCTTATTCGCCGGCTGTTACAGCATTGTGATGTCACTCAGACACGCAGCACACGCAAGCCAGCAAGTCAGGGTTCTCATGAAAAGGACGATTTTAAGTGAAGTTCTTACATATGTTAATTGGGTAGACCTATGCAACAAAAAAAAAGAAGAAAAGAATATATTTTAGAAGAGATTTGACCTTTAACATTGAGGAAATTACTCTCCTTCACCCCTGCACCCCCTTATTGAAACTGTAAATCTTTTAAAGTATGATTGCAAACTGTGGAATAGCAGCGTAGAAGCTCTGGAATTCATTTCTATGAGTTTGCGAAATCTCCAGCACTTGTTGGCACATCACAGAATAAAAAATAAATAAATCTGGAGTTTGTGCTTTTTAGAAAAGGTTGATCATGTGTTAATATTAAAGTTCTACACTGCGGACTGGACAGTAAAGATGTTCAGCGCCTGTTTTAGTCATGAGAGATAGTTGGATTTTCTTTCTTAATTTTTATTTTACATCATACAAGAACAAGTGTTTTTTCGTCTTGTGGACATATTCAGCTTGTATGCAGTGGAATACAAGCTGAATATAAAGGAAGATAGGTTGTTAGGTTAGCTTTGTGAGTTCGAAAGAACGAGAGGAGCTGCTGATCTAAGATATATGTTGTTATCACCCCCACACCCCCACCCCTGGACTATTTTACTGTCACGCTTTCACTTATTCAGAGTCATTTCAACAGTTCACCATTCATTTCACCACCGCTTACCTCACATGTGTATAAACCCCACCGTGGTGTTACCATTTAACCTCACAATGAGAACCAACCACTGCTAACCTCAACATTCTCCCGGACCCCATACAGAGATTGCTGGGAAAACATGAAGAGTTTGAAAAAACAAGGTCCACAATAATTTCAAAGGTTTTGTGTCCCGCAAGGCTCCTCCCCTCTTGACCACATCAGTCCCCGCCCCTTGCTGCAGCCTCTGTGGTTGAGGTTGGCTAATTAGAGGGTTGCCACGGGAACGGAATGGCATCTTAGCCAACGGGTGTAATGACAGGGTGAGGGGAGGAGGGCGGGGTCAGATTATAGGCCCGGGAGTACGCTGAGAGGAGCTCAAAAAAGAAAAGAGCACGGTGAAGTGGGGGAGAGAATGTGGAAGAAAATGTGAAACATGAAGATCTAAGTTGGTAGAGGAAAAGTAGAGAAGGGTCTGAATTGTTTAGGATGACTGAGAGCAAGTTGGTCTAATGAAATTAAGGCTGAACAAAGAAGTTTAACACAGGGTTTTTTATTCTTCCTGTATCTGAGAGGAGGAATGAGCAAATGACTAAGCGCGTAACTGTGGTTTCCAAATAGACGTTTGGTTCTCTGGCATGGCCCGTCAGTGTATTAACTCGTGTGTTAGTGTACATCACACAAGACGTCTCACAGTTCTTTTTTGGAAAGACCTGGCCTCTGGTCACCATGGCAGCAAACAGGAAACGGTGTGTGAGTTTTTATGCAGCTGAGCCCGGTCACCCTGACAGTTCTCCCTTTCCTCCTGTGTGGCCAGCCTCATTTTTCAAAAGACAAACATCCAGCTGGACCACGGCTAAAAGTGGACAAAAGGGAGCTTAGAAACCTTAGGAGCTTGGTGTATTTCAGCCTCTTGGTTTTGGGACTTTTACCAACATTTTTTGGGGGACTGCGAGCAGGCTGAACAATTTGAGCACCGTCATCGTATCGGCTTACACTTGGCGAAACCACCACTGCCCAAAACCACAGTGAAATGAGTCCCAGTTTGCCTCACATTTGCACAGCAATTTTAAAGCTACCCTCTTGTGTTGATCCAACTTAAGATTATATCCAGTACTTGATGTGTGAGCCTCATGTAACATGCTTTCTGTTCCCTGAAGAATTACAGACTTGTGCAGTCATATTGTTCTGTTCTAACGCTGGTATACATTTGGCATTCCACTCAAGAAAAACATTAGTCACGGGTATTTCAAAGAGAGGTGATTCAGTCATTCCTCACTTCTGCAATGGGCTTCACCGTCTCTGTTCAAACTGGCCGTCGCTGTTGCCAGAACAGTCCTGACGCACACGTTCTGCTGCACGGAGCAGAATAATATGTCTCTGTGTGGTGTCACCGTGTTTGCAATCCTTCAGTTGCTAATACGTGAGCTGCTCTTGCTTTCTTTGGATAAATGTGTCAAGCCTACGGCCATCATGTTTTCCGATGGGATTTTGCATAATTGGGGTTTGGAGACAGTGTGGCTATTAGAAAAAGTCACATTAACCACCAGCTAAATTCTGGTGAGTTTCTGAAGGCTTATAAGAGTGCCCTGCTACCACCCACCAAGTTAGATTTTTCTGTAAAGCCAGACTAATCCTAGTCTGGTTTTTCAGGGCCAATGCCAGCACCAAGGTCCTTGTATAGTAACTATAGGACACTTCTCCTTCTGCTGGACAGCTTTGGCGAACCATTTTTGTAATTTATTAGCCTGTGTTGTCTTGCTGGAATAAACATGAAAGACATTGAAAAGTTCATTTTGACAAGCCACAAATTACTCGGTGACTAATTAGAATTTTATTCAGATGTATACAAGTAGTGACTGCAGGCATCTCAAGATAGGCCATTATGACCAGTTTACTTTGTTTCACATGCAAAACTTGGCAGACACATGGATATTGGCTCAGGAAAGCATTTCAGCCACGTTAGCAACAGTGAGAAATAAACACTGAAAAGCTGCTTTCTGTTTTAATGCAGCGTGTCTGTGGACACTCTTCCATACAACTGTCCGTGTCAAGCTCTTTTTAAATCAAGGATTCAGACTTTTCTGTATCCAACTGCATTATTGAACATACTTACTTTTAACTTTCACATCAACTGTATTGCTTTGCAACATATGTGTCACACTTAAAAGATAAGATCTGATGCCTTTCATGTCTTCTTACTTGAGCCTTTGTTCTTACCTTGCTCCCTTTCATTCTTTGCAGGTATCAGTATTACCTGCAGGTGAAGAAGGAGGTGCTGGATGGACGCCTACAATGCACTGAAGAGCAGGGGATCAGACTTGCTGGGTTCGCAGTGCAAGGTGAGACACACATGGACAAACATTTCAAGTGAATCATCTACCGGAGAGATGGACAGCACCACAGCACAAACTCGGGCTTCCTCGGGTCATCTTGACTCCGCTGCCTTATATGGCTGCATACCACAGGGAGAACCCCGTCCACTTGAGTTCCTATGGTATCAATCCTGACACAGATACATGCACGCACAACCCCACCACGTTCTCTCTGTCTTGCTCCTGGGTGCTGTCTGCGTCCCAAGGGGAATGTAAACAGACGTTTAGCTTATCAGCGGCTCCGAGGTTAGCCTCAGCTACGTCAGGAAGACGCTTATCTGCCGGGAGGCAAGTATCCTGTACTCAGTCCTCTTTTGTACAACAAACGGCGTTTAGTACTCAGTACAAGCCATATCTGAGGACTGAGTGTGTTACGGACATGGTTCGTGGGTGGGTGCGGGATTTATTGTGTGTAAACAGATCTTTATAATCTCAAATAGTAACGTAAGCACTTAGATTCCTAGATGGTGATTCACAAATTACAGAGAAAGAAAGACTGTCAGCTAATCATTTTGGTACATCAGGTGTTTACCTAAGCCATTTTATTAAAAAAATCTAAACTAAAATTCAAACTAAAATACCATGAATGTGAACCTAAATATCACATTAGGAGCATTTACTTGCATTTACATTAGGAGGATTTACTTTGAGTGGTAACAAATCAAAGAGTGTTTTTTTTTGTTTTAGCTGACTTTGGAGACTTCAATCATTACCCTTCTCAGGACTTCCTCAGGGAGTACGTGCTCTTCCCAGTGGTAAGTCCTCAAACCTAAACTGTTCATCATTGGTTTCGTTTGTGTGAATGACTGAATTTCTTTGCTTACACAGACTGCTCAAGCCGTTATTGTTGTGCTTTTTCATGTGTGAAAAGGGTGTATGTTTCTCCATGAATGTGTGCCTTCAGGAAGCACATTCACGGTATCATCTTTGAACCTCCTCCTCTTGCATATTTGTCTGACAGGCAGAAAGAATAAACTGGTATGCAGCGAGAGTTTGGAGCATATCAAATGCAAAACATCGACTAAGTTTACAGATTCGTAATTTTCTTCATCCCCATCTGTTAACAGTTCAGATGCAAGCTGTGAACCTAATAAGCATGTATTTTAATGGATGAAACGTTCCTTGCCTAACATTCATTTTTCTTCATTATGTGATTCTGATCTTTTTCTGTTTTGCAGTCTGCCTATATGTATGCGTGTGTGTTTTTATATATCAGAGAAAATTATCTCTGTGTATCTCTCTTGCCCAGAACTGGCCAAATGCAGAGGAAGTGCTGGAGGAGTGGACTCGGAAGGTTGCTGAGGAGCACAAGAGTCACTGGTACTTAGATAGATTGTATACTGTGAAATTAGCGAGGTTGCTTGTTCCATATGCTGACTTTGTCTATGTTTCATAGTCGAATGCAGGCCGCTGAGGCAGAACTGCTGTACATCAAGGAGGTGGAAAAGCTGGATGGTTTTGGCCAGGAGAGCTTTGCTGCAAAGGTATCAGTAATGTCAGCATGAGCCCTCTCCCAATTCTGCAAGAAAAAAAAAATCTTAAAAGAGTTTCTTCTTATTCCACAGGATAACTACACAAATGATATTTTCATTGGTGTGTCTTTTATTGGAGTGTTTGTCAAACACAGAAATGGCAGATCCATCATGCTCCACAAGTAAGTTTCTTCTTCTGCAGATTTCCCCATTCATTCCGAACCCAGCTGTTTTACGAGGCACAACAAATGACGGGAAGTTTAATATTTGTGTGCTTTGAATGTTTGCGTGTGTCTTTCCGTGTTTGTGACAGGTGGAAGGACATTGGTACCATAGCACACAACAAGGCAGCCATCACAGTGGAGATAACAAACAGAGACGACACCATCGCTTTTCACATGGTGAGTGTTGTGTCTGCAGGTGGCCTCTGCACATTCACACACTCTCGCTACAAGGTTTATGGTGGAAGGTTAAATCCACAGATTCTCCCGCAGAGAGACAAATAAGGGAGCAAGTTCAGGCTCAGTTTTCTAGAAATAGAAGTGCTGTTTTCCTTGAAAATGTCAATATTTTCTCACTGTATCTGTTTCTGCAGGAGGACATGGAAATGGCTAAGTACATAGCTCGTCTTTTCACTTCCAGACACAAATTCTACAAACAGAACAAGATCTGTGCAGAGTGAGTCTTGAGACTAGCTGTAGGCATTTAAAAAGCTTGTGTATCTGTCATTGTTTGTCAATCCTTTTCAAACTGACTTAATTTTTTAAAACAGTTTTGTGATAGTAACCATGATTTAATAAGTCTGATGATACAGTCCTGAGCACTTGTGCAACATCTGTGCAAACTGTTCGTGTTGAATCAACTGGGTGCTATCCCCTTTCGTCCCCAGGCCCACTCACTCACCTGCACCAATCAGGAGGAGACCCACATGGACCCACCGCCTATCTCTGGTACAGTTCAAGACAAGATATAGATTTTTGACCAGGACCAGGGCAGTCAAAGTTTAAGTTGGAAACAATAAGATATAATCAAGCTCATTGTAGGGATCCGCATTACAAACTTAGAAACACAACTTCAACAGTCTAAACTTTTGCTCCATTGCAGTTTTTTTTAATACTGTTTCACTTGGGCATCAGTTCAGCTTTGTACACTGTAGACCATCAGAGCTGCAACACTCCACATTTGTAGAGGCTATCACTGAGTAGTAGTGCATGAAAAACAGTCTTATATCATGTTGTGTTTTGCAACCTTTCTGGAAGTCCTTTTTTTATAGATGCCATAGTCAGACATCGTGGTTTGTCTATTTTCACACAGCTATGGTCTTCCAGACTGCCAAAAGGTGGCGTTGGGACCAACGCTGGCTTCTGGCCTGAAATAGTGAGACAATCAGACAAGGGAAATTTTGAGTGTGATGCCACCCTCCCACTCAGAGCAGCTTCTAGTTATGCCACAGAGCTTGGTTTGAACATAGGCTGCGGCTGGTGGAAAATTAGTAAGGGCGTTGCTTCCGGTGTGACAATAAAGGCAGTGAATTCAGACTCTCCCATCCAGCAGCCAGACAATGGCTTGGCTAAATGCGGCACAATAGGTGTTCAGTCACTCCACTGGGGTCTTCAGATGACTGTGTGGAAAACTGCAGGCCCTGGCACAAGATTACCCACTCAGTCGCTGGCATTTACCTGCTAAGATGAGAATGTTGACTTGAATTTGTAATACAAAGAAAGTGAAATGTTGCCATTACTGCTACAGTGGTTCAGTCTAACTGGTCTGTTCCTCCATGCAGCCACGGCCTCAGTCCTGTAACTTCCAGTCGGTGCATTCCCAGTATGCGGACCATTATCAGGACACACAGAGCTCTCAAGGTACGTGTCAACCACAAGCAGATTTAGAAGTGAGGCCCCTTCCCCCACACTGCTTAAACCACAGTGTGATTTAAAATGTTTGACTCCCTGGCAAAATCATCTCAGTTGGCTAATTGCGTCTTTACCATCGAGTGGGTGACTCACCGCCCACTTATATTTTAACAATCTCCCAGCCAATTAGAGCCCAAAAGTTTGGGGGGGTGTGGGCACAACAGTGACCTCATTTGTCTTTCATTGACTGTTTCACACACTCAGAGCTCCTTGTAATCTGAAGAACTTCACTCATGTCGGATTGACAGTAAAACTAATCACAAGAAAACACTGGGTGTGCTACTATGTGTGGGTGTGAGATCATTCCACAGTGGGACCTCAGCCATCACATCCAAGTTCATTTATGTGGACCACGATTGTATCTTTGCTTTTCTTTCTCATGGAATAACATGGGTCAATGTAAAGCAAGAACAATGTAAAATATTTTGGTGTCTTCAGCCAGCATGAAAACTCTTTTGATTACATTTTTCATTTTCTTTTTTAAGTTGAGTTATTTACAATAGTTTCTTAAGACTGTATATGACCCTTCAAACCTCCCTGGAAAACATACTTTTCCCCTTATCTTTCCTTTGCTCTATAGACAGCATCTTTCACGAGGACCCTTACTACAAGTCAGAGACCAGTCTGGACCGCTGTACGAAGGCCTTCCGAAATGGAACCGTGCCCAATGGAAGCATGTACAGCAGCCCCAGCCTCAGCTCCCTCAATCGCTCCCAGACTTTTGTCCCTCCGTCACCCATGTCCTCCAACCTCAGCATCCCTGGCAGTGAGATCATGCGTCCTGACTACATACCCAGCCACCGCCACAGTGCCATCATCGCGCCATCCTACCGGCCCACGCCGGAATACGATGCCGTCATGCGGCAGAAACGATGCATGCTGCCCACTCACCATGACCTCCAGAGCCAGTCTCTGCGCAGTCTGAACATTAGCAACGCCTGTGCTTACCGCCAGCCTGAGCCTCTGGTGTACAGTCAGCCAGAGATGAGGGAGAGAGGCCTGTATCATGTTCCCGGACCCAGCCCTGGGCCCTACACACCGCAGGTAGAGGTGGATTCTTTGTGTTGATTTATTTTGTCCGTCTTTTTTCTCCAACCTCACTTTCCTCATTTTCTGACTGTGTTACAGATCAGTTACAGTAAGCCAGTGTCACATGGACCCCATCAAGGAGGGCCAGCCAGTAGCCAGGGCCCCTGTCATTCCCCCTGTGTTAACGGAGGTGGAGGTCCTGATGGAGGTGTTGGCAACTCCATCTCACATACTGTCAGCACACCCGAGCTGGCCAACACACAACAGCAGGGAACGAACATGGGAAGTTACGCGGCCACAGCCAACATGTTGAGAAACCACATGTCGCGTCCCCCTCCGCCCTACCCCTCTAACTCCTTCCGCCCGGCCACCAGCACTCCGGACCTCGCCAGCCACCGCCACCGCTGCATTGGAGGAAGCAGCCCGGAGCTGCTGCCCCGCATGGTGCAGCTGCTGGTCAAGACCTTCCAGCCGGACAGCTCGGCAGTGGTGCACCAGTCCCTGCAGGAGGTCAGTGAACCTCTCACGGCAGCGGCCAAACACCGGTCCACTCTGGGCAAGAGACACAGTATGGAGGTCATCAGCAGCATGAGAGGGGGAGGAGGGTTGGAGGGCCTGGCGATGAAGGGCATCAACGCTCCTCTTCATCGGAGGAATACTCTCAGAGAACATGCCATGCCATCTCAGTCTCAGACGATTTCCCAGCCCCAGCAAACCCCTCAGTTGCAACCTCAGCCGCCAGCCCAAGCACCGCCCCAGCAGCCAAAGGAGGTGCCCATGCAGAAGCCCGCCCAGAATGCGCCCGAGACCTCCGCTGCACATCCTTCAGCAGTTGCGTACCAGCATCAAAAGACTCTTTCCAATGCCACAATGCTTATACACAGCAGTGAGAGTGAAGAGGAGGAAGAAGAGGAAGAGGAGAGGCCTGAGCTGGATGTTCAGATCCCAGGTCTCAACGAGGACATTAGCATCAGCGCTCAGCTCCAGGCTGCTCTGGCCAAACTTCCAAACAAACCTCCTCCAGAGTACCCTGGTCCGCCCAGACCTCACACCAACGCTCAGATTCGCTCTCACAATCACAACCACACTCACCACCACAACAACAATCCAGGACAAGCGCAGTGCAACCAGGGACCAATGGACCCCAATCAAGTGCTCAAAACTGCCCAGGGCCAGGGTACTGGCACGCCTGGGGGTGGGACTCTGACCAGAGGGGATCAGAGTGGGGTGAACGGGACAGTTTTAGGTCCATCCATTTCAGAACCAGACCTGACCAGTGTGAAGGAGAGGGTGAGGAAGGAGCCAGTCAAAGAGAGGCCGGTGTCAGAGATGTTCTCTTTGGAGGACAGCATAGTGGAGAGGGAAATCGCTCAGAGGGTAAGATGAACACTGTAAAGGTTTAGTGTTACATTATTCAGTGGATTGGAAAAAAATGAAACAAACATTTTGATGTTCTTGAGTTCAGTCATAAAAAGTTTATTTTTTTCACCTTGACAATAAAGGGTTTCATTAATTGGATTTGCTTGAAATTTCAAGTGATTTCAAATATGGCATCATACAAGATATAAAAATGTGATTTAATGATTATGGTTATTGCAATGATAAACAAACATCTATCAGAGCATTAAAGGTTCATTATTGATGTAATATTTCCCTGAGAATTCACATCATTTATTGGCTGTAAATGTGTAGTATTCAACAGAAATATCAAGGAGACAATTCCTGTCCTGGACAAAAGAAACCACCCATACTTTACCTACTGTTTTTATGGTCTGCTGTTTGCTTGCTAGGTCTCAGCTTCTTATTTGCGGTAATCTGGGTTTCAGCTTGTAAGAGGGTAGCACAAGGCTCCGAATTCCCCCAGGCAGCTAAAAGCCGTACAAATCCCCGTAGATTATTCCTTCAGTTGGTTGTTCTTTTATGTGTTGGCTCTCTGTTCAGTCCCACAACAATTGACATGGCAAAGGAGTCCAGGTATGGGTTCAGTCGTATTATCACCTGAGAATAATGAACCTCTCTCCATGACTGAGCCGGATTTGTTCTACGAAACTCCAAAGTGATTTACCTCTGTGCAAACCCCCTATCACTACCAGCTGCTTTATCTTATAAATAAAGGGTGCTCCTTTTGACCCCCAAGATATTGTTTTGACTGTCCCACAGGGGATGAAGGAGGCGGAGCTTCACTGGAGGTTTAATAGCATCACAGATTAGGAGAAGTAATCCTTGGTGGAAGGAGGGGCTGTGCATTCTGGGTTAGCTTTTTGGCAATGAAAAAACAGTCTGTATCACAGAAAGAATATTGGCTTTGTAAAGAAAAGAAGGCTGGAGAGGTAGGTGGGCATAAACAAAGGGATGAGGCATTCAAAAATGTGTGAGGAAGGACTAACGGGGTTGAAAGGAAACTGAGTGTATGAGATAGATAAGAGTTAGCAAGCCTGACTTAATAGGCTTTGTTTTTCGGGCTTGTTATTTTACACCTGTGGGCAGGGGCGGCCGGATTCGATTTAGAAAAAGGATGCACGGGGACGACAAAAGTCCCCGCCCAGTTTGTTTGTGTGCAAGTACTTGAAGCCAGTTTATTTGCCGCCAGTACCTGTAACCATGATCCCAAGAATTTCCTCTGTCTTCAAGACACTGGAGCGACAGAAGATGTCAGTGGACTCCATGAAGAGACCTTTGATGATGGCTGCCCTCAACGGACTCTGTGTGGCCCGAATGCCTGTCCCTGAGAGTCCAGCAGAGGAGGCCGGCAAGTCAGCTACAGACGAAAGGGTAGGACGTTTTATTCTTTACAGGATACGGATCATTTCTATAAGTTTTCGTAAAACTTTTACCCTGACGAAATGTCGAAAAATCTAGCAAATGTCCTTCATGCGTCTTCCTTTTGTCAGACATAATCGAACGACAAACACCTTAAAATGAATTCGACCTGCAACCTATTTTAGGCTTCTGTTGGTTCTGTTTAAAGGAGTTAATGTGCTGACTCCCTGATAGACATCGGGAAAAGATTAATTTTCATTTATAGTGAACAAACAATTTATATAATGTTTTTTTTATTGAAGAATTAGTCCAATTATTTTCTTAATGAATTCCAATTTAAGAAGACTTTTTGATCAGATCAAGTGTGTCACCTTTGAAATAAAACGATGAGGAATCTGACCCATAATCACATGAACTTAACACCATAATGCCATGTGTATATTATTTGATGCATACGGAGTCTGAAACATTTAGCATCTGAGACATTTTGCATCATTTAATGGTAGAAACTTTGCTCAAAACCCTGTTGTACACAATCAGATATAACTGATAACAGCTGTCTGAAGACTACGCAACAATTATTTTGTCTTATCGCACGTGAATAAATGACAAATATAAAAAAATAATTTCTGTGTTTTATTCAGATTTTGTTAAACAGCTAAATAAAGACTTCAAACACAAAATATGATTAATTTTCTCTTTATAATTTTTTGGATCAGGCTTTTAAGGGTTAATGAAATCCACTTCCCAGATAGTTTGTTTGCTCCCTTCTGAGTGGGGAGGTGTGAAACACAGTCTTTGTCCCGGGCTGTTGCTAAGCTAATGGGGGCAAACCCCTAAGTGGGCTGTGGAACGCGTGGCATGGTGGTGCTTATCGCCTCTGGGCCTGCTGGTATGTTAAGAATGTGACCCAAGAGGGCCACAGAGATGGACTGGTAGAAAGATATTCTGCCCTCCTGAACACAAATGGTCTAGTAAAACGTGTAACTCCACCAGAATGTGTACCTATAGCGACTGCATTTTCAAAATCAGTTAAATAATTACAATTGCTTTGAGGTCTTTCCTACTGCAGTCAGAACAATGTCCAGTTTGGAGCTTAGAAATGTGGACCACTGTATACAATATTAGCACCACTGGATTCTCACAGTTAGGACAACCTTTTGGGCTCTGTCAGCTGTAAATTCATTTAAATGTTTTGGAACGTTGACTTCATCTAATGACAATCCCCGGTCATTTCCTCTCTTTTCTCTGTCCCCATAGTGTAAGAGTTTGGAGTTAAAGCTGGAGGAAGAGCGGGTCTTCACCGAGTATGAGCAGGTGCCTAAGAAGAGGGCCGATTCGGTTCTCACAACAGCAACTCTGCCAGAAAACGCTGAGCGCAACCGTTTCCGTGACGTTGTCCCTTATGAGGAGAATCGAGTCGAGCTGGTACCCAACAAAGAGAACAACACAGGCTACATCAATGCCTCACATATCAAGGTGTGTTCAAATGCTAAAGGTTTTAAATGTCAACAGGTGTGAAAACAGAAAAAAAAACTGCTCATAATTCTTATATCTAAATTCATGTAACAACTTTTGTTAAAGCACAGCGGATTAGAAGTCTTTGTACATCAGGTAGTTACAGTTGCACCCGTTCGTGTTTGTTTCTTCTAAATCTGACTTCACATCCACATTCCTTTGCCAGCCAGATATTTACATGTGGATGATTATCCCCTCTAAATGAATTGTTAAGCATAATAAATTATGTCTAATTTGTTATACTTTTGGCCTACCTTGACGGTTCGTGATCTAATCTGAAGTTCCCATGTCCCTTTAGAATGAGATTCACTATCTCAATTAGATTACTTGTATGGATTAATGATGTATGGAACCAGATAAAAACTGTTTTGACGAGTGAAAAAATAGTAAAAGTCTGGTAAACTTTCACACACCCTCATAAATTGACAGATAACACGTCATATATGTGTGCTTCCTGCTGTTGGGTTATACAGTATATTTGCTTGGAGAAGAAGACATCCTAATTCCAGTCTTTTAACTTCTGCTTGTCTGTTAATGCAAGAAAATACTCACTGTAAAAAAAAGACCCACAATTTTAACTTCTGCTTGTCTGTTAATGCAAGAAAATACTCACTGTAAAAAAAAGACCCACAATTTAATCGGGATGGCTCCTAAATCAACATCACATACTCGAAATTCCCCACAACACACATATCATGCTTTCCAAATTAAAACAGAGTATAAAGTTAATGAATTGAGTATTCTTTTAGGCTCTTGTGGTGGTTTCTAAGCAGGCAGTGGCTTGGAGCAGTGGATGAAAGGCGGCTATTGAGGCTTGTTTGGGCCTTTAAGCTCTCAGAGCTCTTGGAATTCCCAAAGAATGTTGTCCAAACTGCAACCCTCTTAAGCGACCTGGGTTGTTCTCACTGAGTCTCTGTTCATGTTGCAAACACTGCTGTGCACACCAGCTTGTGGGTATAGATGAGTTAAGACTCACCCTATATGTCTAACCGACAGTCTGGCATGATGGTCAAAGTGTCACCGTATCAGTGCCAATCCAGGTGTAATCTTCGTGCTGCCTTGTCATCTGAGGTTTTTCCAACAGAACAAAAGGCCGTATTTATTCTCCATTCATCCCTTAATGCTGTGTTTACAGTCACGAGGCGGCTTGAGGAATCAGCTGAGACACGCTCATTATGTGATGCCAGTGATGTTTGGAGTGTGTTAAAGGTGGAAATTGTTCCTGACTGTGTGTGGCTTTATGATTATTAATGAGGGGAAACTGAAGGGATCTTGAAAATAGCAGATAATGGCTGTTTCTTAGAATTAGAGCTCCTTATACCGCCATCTAGTGGTGGTGGAAATGACTGATGGATAACTGTTCATTTATTGGTGTTTTCTGTTGTTTCATGTGTATTTAGGCAGACTTTTTACATTGCTGTGTATTTTCTAAAATCCCCACTAACTGATCCTATGTGTGTTTGCTCAGGTTGTGATTAGAGGGGAGGAGTGGCATTACATCGCTACCCAAGGCCCGCTTGCCAACACTTGCGCTGACTTCTGGCAGATGGTCTGGGAGCAGGGGGTCAACGTCATCGCCATGGTTACTGCAGAGGAGGTACCCCACCACGCACACACAGTTGTAGATCATTTTCAGTGGCTGACAGCTGGCTGTCTTGTGTGAGAAATAGGATGATGGTAAAACTGTCACTGTCCCTGTGTGTTTATGCATAACTCGCCGCTTTAGTCCACTTTGGCTCATCTTATTTTTCTCCCCTGCCTTCATCCTGGGCTCACCTCTCATCCGGCTCTTATTAACCTCTCTTTCAGGAGGGCGGCAGGTCCAAAAGTCACCGCTACTGGCCCAAACTGGGCTCTAAACACAACTCAGCCACTCATGGCAAGTTCAAGGTGACCACCAAATTCCGCACCGACTCTGGATGTTACGCCACGACGGGGTTAAAGGTCAAACACCTGTTATCTGGCCAGGAGAGGACAGTTTGGCACCTGCAGTACACTGACTGGCCTGAGCAGGGCTGTCCGGAATATGTTCCCGGATTTCTCTGTAAGTGGGATCAGTCTGGGAATCATTTGCTGTTAGCAACAATCGTAACACAGAATACTATCTCTGTTACTCCAGAAACCCATCATCTAACTCTCCTTGTTTTCTCTCCAGCCTACTTGGAGGAGATCCAGTCTGTGAGGAGACACACTAATTCCATGTTGGACACCTCTAAGAGCCTCAATCCACCGGTGGTGGTGCACTGCAGTGCTGGGGTGGGTCGTACCGGTGTGGTCATCCTGACTGAGCTCATGATCAGCTGCCTGGAGCACAATGAGGTTTGTAGCTGGTGGATTTACCAGACAGCAGTCAGGGGGGCAAGTTTGGCACAAGTCTGGCACATTTTCTGTGAAGCCAGTGAGACCACACATATTACTGTAAGGTTAGAGTGAGAGACAAAGAGTGCAAGCAAATGAATGAACTTGATGTAATCTTAAATATAGGGATTTACATCTTAGTCATACATGTGTAGTCCAGATGACGAGGCAATGAGATTCTATTGATATTTTCTCTGTTGTTTTTTTCCTTTTCAGCCAGTGGAGGTTCCTACCATGTTATCAGAGCTGAGACAGCAGAGGATGCTGGTGGTACAGACCATCTCCCAGTACAAATTTGTCTACCAGGTCCTCATCCAGTTCCTCAAGAACTCCCGCCTCATTTGAGCCGGAACCTCCGACCGTTGGCCTTTGGATGATGTGGAATAATGGCATTAAAATGGTACTCTAACTTAGCATAAGGGCTCCAAGAAGGAATACTTTGGGCAGTTTCTGTAACTGCTGTGGTTTTTTAACCTCAAGGAAAAAAAATAAATTAATTTGTGTTTTCAGATTTAGCCCTTTATTGTAATCCTGGATCTGGTCTTTATGTTGCACATGCATGTTTTGCATGTTCTCCATGCAGGTCTGGCGAATAAATGGTCTTGGCAGCAGGTGTAAATGTTTTTCTAAATATGACCTTTATATCCTGGAGAGCTTTTAAGGAAGACCTTGAGAAATCAGACGTCTCTGTATAGAGAGTGCACCTGCCTGCTGACTTTTTCAATTTTGATCTTGCTATTAATATATATGGCATTATGCTGCATAAACAGTAGGTGGCAGCAGTGTTACTACTACACTCTAAACTGAGTGTGCCAAAAAAAGTATTCTTCAAAATCACTGTTAAAGCTTAAAAGAATTTTAGTGTCAATTATACAGCAAGTATTGACTCCAACATTGTGACAAATGTTTTTATTTATTTTTATAAAGATTATGGTCACTTTTATCTTTGGCTTCATGTTGATCCTTGTGTCTTAAAAAAATCTTTTCCCTCTATTTTCATGTAGCTTTCCTTAGATTCCTTTTTGTTTTTCTTGTGAATACACACCAGCTAAAACATTTGCAATTTCCAGCTTTTTCTTACAAACATGCAACGCATACACAAAGTTAATTTTTTAAACTTATTTGCCCTTGGAAAAAACCACAATGCCTTTCAAACGTGTGAATTATGTCACATTGATAAGCTCTTTCTTCTGAATCGGTTTGGGTGAATTAGATATATTTTTTGGGCCTTTAAAGTAAAATATTTGCGTCAGTATTTAATAGTTATTTGTTATCAGAACAACCCTATCTTTCAAGCTTGATTTGTCTTAAAGATGCTGTTATCTGTGGTTATTTTGAAAGAAAAGTCACACTACAGACTTTTACCAAAAAACACAAAAATCTATCAAACTGGTTCTATTTAATTAAGATGTGATGCAGATACTTTTTTTCAAAGCTAAAATTAAATTCAGAAAAATCTTTTGACATATGACTTCAAATATACTTTTCTTCTTTTCAAAATTGTAATGCAGATCAGCCATGTCCGATCATAACTCTGTACATACTGGGCATGTTAAAGCGTTTTATATAGTGTCCTTTCTTGACTTGGTACCCATAAAATACCGCAACATAAACTATGCATGCATTTTTATATCTCACTGTATATATTTCAGTATATGTTCTCAGATAAGTATAAGCTTTTGTGCTCTTTTGACTTCAAGTGTTTTGTTGCACTTCTGTCCTCTAAAACAGTATTTCCTCACATGGCATTCCACATTGTGTTAATATTTAATTTACCCCTTTTGCTTTTTTTTGGCTGAACTCCTAACGACATTTCAAATTATGTGTACATATGTTTTGTATATGCATTTTGAGTGCATTAAGCCTTGTTTTCTCTCCCCGGACGTGTATGACGCTGTTGTTGTACTTGCTTATTATGCAATTAAAGCCTTATTTTCTTTAAGCCTGTGTTGTCGTGTTGTTAATGTTTAATTTACCTCTGTTTGGTGTTCATTTTTGTTTATGAAAACCAAAATTCCTGCCGAACAAAAAAGAAAAAGAAATTGTAAACATGAATAGCTCTCCAGTCATTCTATGTGACAGGGGAACATTGCATTGCATTAGCAGCCCCCTTGACATGAGTTTGCTGGATGACAGGAGCGGGGGGGTTTGTGGTCTTACACACATTTGTAAACATGTTCACTCTGATAGAAAATGGGTCCAACTCATTTACAAAAGAATTCTCAATCACCCCATGGACAGTGTATTAAAAAAAAAGCAGCTTAACAGAGTGCACCGTATTCATAAAAAATTCCAACAATAAATTATTAGCATTAAAACAGTGCTCTCATCATACGGTACTTGAATAACAAAGAGAAAAGGATTTTAAGCTCCAAGCCAAAGGAGTGTGTGCAGTGCAGAGTGGGTAATGTGGTTTTCTCCGTTGTCTTCATTTTTGTGCGATCTCCTTACGCAGCTGTGTTACATAGTGGTGATCCTTTCCATGAGCCACCTCCATTATAGCCATTGCCTGTACAGATAAAATCAAACTCCTATGACAACATTTCCATGACTTTTTAGTGTGTTTTGTATGTCATTGTATTCTTTGATATGATTAGTCATTTGTCCCCTAAAATCATCAAGATTGCGCATTGCATGTGACTTTAAAGATACTGCTGAGTTTAAATAAAAGATTGTACTTTTTTTTTTACAGTTTGCTGGTTAATCCTGATTTGTATTTCAGGTCTTCAAGACTGATGCTCTGCAGCAAGTTACGTTACCTTTTTTAGAGCACTGATTCCTTCTGAGTGCCTATCCACCTGCATGTAGATTCTGCCCATCTTCAGGTACATGGAGGAGACGTTTAAGGAGTAGGGTGGATACAGCTTGCTGCATGGAACATGAACCATATTTGCACAGTTCACTCACAAAATTCAAAATAAAATGTGATATTCATGAGCATGAGTAATGTCTATTTCATTTATGAGAGTGAATGTACGTGACAGAGAAACAAATATTACAGTTGCAGCATGCTGCAAAAACGGAAGAAGCTAAAAAAAGAAAACACACATTACACACATACACACACTGTATATACAATGCCTGTATACAGGAGACGGTGCGGGTGTTGTTTATTAGTTTAACATAATACCTGTACGGTTTAAGAACCTTCCCTCCATATCTGAGAGCTCCGTCTGCATCTTGCATGTAAATGCAAACGCCCATGGCTTGATACATCATGTGCAGCATGTACACATTAGAGTCATCGAAGACAGCTCCCATTTCCTCCAAGCTCTGCTCACACATCTCCAGTAATTCACTGGGAGGTACAAACGAGTCAAGGCTGCATCCGCACATAATGAGCTGAGGGCTTCACATCATAAAGTGACACTGAAGCTAGTTAGTACCTTCGTTTTGTTCTCTCTGAATCATCGCTTTGAAATAATGTGCAAATTATCCACACAATTAGTACAGAATGTAATAAAGCAGGGGAAATAAAGCTGAGCTTTCAAAGAGAAAAATATGTTTTGTGAATGCTAAACAGTTTTTATCTTGATGGTGTTTCTGATCTTGTTCTTAAAAATGAAGATGCATAATGTATACTATGACAATATTAGGTGTCATTGAAGGATATTTTTAACATGCTTGAGGGCCCGGAACTCTCTGATAGTTTTTCTTGCGTAGCGCACCATGTTGCTGATGACCTGCGGCTCGATGGGGTCACTCTGCTTACGCGCTTTCAACTTAGCCTTGTCCTGTAGGTGGAAAAATAAGGCAAATAACAAGTTCTAGGTAAACGTGTGGGACAGAGCCCACCCAAATGACTGACATGATTTGATTAGCCTTCAGCTTTTATTGGCTCTTACTTTGGACTTGTTTGTGCATTCTGAACATTCGCAGGTGAAGTAATAATACTCTCTCAGCCTGTTATTACGATCATCTGTTGGATAGAGGAGGTCTATGTAGCTGATGAGCACCTAGAAATAGATTTAACACTTGCACACATTAAAAATATGACACCCTGTTCTTTAAATGTCTCTTCTTGTTTCCTGCCAGAAATTTTGTTAACGAAGGGCTGAAATACACCACCTCAGTTCAGCTGGAACAGCCTCACTTTAAACTTCTCTGTCTTTCTTTCTCTCTCTCACTCGCTGTCTCTCTCGCACAAACTCACACACACAAACCGACACAGATCAGGCCTGACAAGCTCATGATTGAACTGTCATTGACCCTTCCACTGCACATCAGCAGCACAGTGGTCCGCCACTCATGTCTTCACATGCCCGTCTTTGCCTTTCAGTCACTCCATTCCGGAGTGACGACAGAGACAGCCTCTCATTTATGTTTTGTTTAAATCTTTTTTTTTTAAGCCTGAAGTTTATTTAAGGAATGATTCAAATTTTTCTTAATGATTACAGAAAAATGCTGTAAGATATATATGCGAAATAATTACAAATATTTTCTCATCTCACCTGCTGCATCACTCAAAACATATTGCTTTAGGTTTTAAGTACAATGACTCGACAAATTGCCTTAACTGAATAATGTCTTTTGTCCTTACTTCATCTCCAGGCTTCATGTCCTGCACTGCCCGGATCTCTGCTGATGTCCCATTGTATGTGACTATGACGCTGGGGAGACAGCTGTGGTTTATCAGTGCCACACTGTGCGGAAAGACAGATGAAAACAGACCGGGAGGAGATTAGAACAAAAATAAGACTGTCCCTTCATCATAATGGATTGGGTAGGAGAACTGTGGCATAGCACGGCTAAAAATGGCAACAAAGCTACTTTGAGGGGTATTAACTCTGCACTGGAGAGAGTCCCTAAGTGTTCCTGAGATAAAAGTCTCAACAAATAGCACAACAGTCAAACTCACCCTCTAATGTACAGCCTGAGCCACAGCACAGAGCCTCTCCGAATATTTGCCCCACTCTTTAGAAACTCTGCTAGCTCTCAGGGTAATTGGGGTAACTTGGCATGCCTGTGTTGCAATTCTTATTTTGTGGTTGTGTCTTTGCTGTGTGACTGTATCTCTAAATGTGCGCATGTATGTGAGACGTCCCTCTTACTCTGGGTAGACTGCAGTTCCCATGTGGGAAAGTTCATCATCCTCAATTGTGAAACCATTACAGGCAACCTGTTGAGTGATGCACAGAGAAGAATGTAAAAAAAAAAAAGAAGAAGCAGCAAATTACTCTTAAATACAGCTATAAAGAAGATGAATCATCTAAAGTCTAGGTTTGTGTTTGCGTTCGGCACCTGGGAGAAGAGTGTGAGCAGGTCTTTCTGGTCAGGCACCTCCAGATGTTTGGAGAAAAATCGATGAAGTCCTGCAATGTCTGCTTCAGTCCTCTCTCTTTTCTCATTATCTTCATCCTCCAGATCTGTTACAGTCAGACAGACACTGTGAACTAACCACCAAGTTGACATTCTTTTCCGGTATTAACTAATCAGAAACATACCAGCATGGGCTTTTACATGATTGGATATAATTGTGATTATGCTCTTTACATAGCAGTGGATATTAAAACTTTGCAGAATGAGACAGACTTCTCCGTTACAAGTCTGAGCATATTCCAAATAAAAAAGTCCCATTTTCATTGCCGTCGCTATCATTCTGGTCAGTAACTAACTGCTGTCCCACTTACTTCTTGTCTTTAACACTTTAAATCAATACTAATATACAATCCGGTGTTCTGGGGTATGCTGGTCTGTCGGGGTATGCTGACCTGACTGAACACCGGCTTTTTTCAGTGTATACTATTACTTGCCAAATTTTGTGTGTGTGTGTGTGTGTGTGTGTGTGTGTTATCAGACACACGGTTATAAGGTTATCCTCACTTTTGACTTTTGATGTTGCCCTCATTCATCATACATTCAGCTTTTTAACTAAGTGAACTAAAAATCTAATGAATAAATAACTGCTTTTTCCAAAGTGAAATAATAAAAAAGTCAAAACTTACAATAACTAAATAAACACAAAATATATCCAAAACATATTAAGCTATGTGCTCTTGATAACAAACTCTATTCAAAATCCCTTTACTTTACATGTGACAACATGTAATACTGCCCCCCATTCCAGTTATTCCATAGGGCTCTGGCCATCTGACCCACATGTATAGGATATATTTAGAAAACACTGTGGGTGTTTCTGTCTGATCTCAAGGTCAGATTTGAGGGAATCCCAGAACATACGGGACTGAATTTGAAAGGCATATTCCAAGCGGGTCAATTAAAAAAGTCATGTCACACTTACGCATCGAGCATGTTATTCTCCATGCTGTAAACCAGCACACACTCACGTGACTGCATCTCTCCTATGAGCAGCAACTTCTCAGAGGCACTTTTCTCTTTCTGTATTTTCTAAAGAGAAGAGGGATGTTGATCACACTTTGTGCTTAGCGACCGTCCAGAAATACATGCTAGTTTATGAAGTGTCTGACCTTCTTAGCGAGGATCCGGGCCACCAGGCGGGATGTCTCTGAGGGGACCCAGTTCTCTCCAAATGCATTCATGGCTGAACACTCCAGCTTGTGCATGGCCCAGTCTGCTTTCTTCACACAAGCAAACACATAGAGAGTAGAAAAGAGTAATATTTTAATTGGTAGGAACAGGTTACATCCTATCTATCTATCTATCTATCTATCTATCTATCTATCTATCTATCTATCT